CCTTCAAGAAAATTTTGACTTGATCACAGTCTTTAAAGTCATTTATAGAAGTATGATGCTAGATGTTTTTTCAATATAGGAAATAAAAGTTAAAAGAAACGGTAGTGATCTACTTTTAAGGAACTGCTGAGCAGGGGGTTATGTTCACATTGTTGTATTCAATGGCTCTTGATTGACTTTCCTCCCATTAATTTGCCCATTTTTGAATGTATCTTAGGCATCCAAAACATCCTGTGACAGTAAATTGTGCAATTCAGTTATGTACTGTCTCAAAGTCTTCGCTTAATCTTTATTACCAAATGATTTTGTTTCATATTTGCAGTTCTTTCAGTTATAAAAAAAAAAATGGTGCTGAATCATCTCTATTTTTTATGATTTTATGTATACAACTTCAATTGTGGTGCTTTTTTGCACCTTTTATATTTCCTCTTTTTCTTTTTCAGACAGCTTGTACAGATCTGTGTATTGTGTTCAAGAATTAAAGTCAAAGGTGAACCATTAACTTATAACAGAGATTTTCCTTTTGTACACTCTTCCTTTTTTTATAATTCTTGACATTCCTCCTGCCTTTTTGACCATTTTCAATACTGGGCCAATCTCATCATAGAAGCAACCGCAATGACTCCGAGGCTTGTTTCCTTGGTTGTAAATGTTCAAATCACAAATAAGCGTTGTTCTGAAATACATCCTATAGTTCAGCAAAGAATCAATTCAGACAAGATATATGGCCTCGTATAAAATTGTAGAGCAGACTAGATTATAACAATTGTCCTTTTTGGCCTTATAAATTATGTATCTGTGAGAATTGCTTCTTTTAAAAACCATGGTCCCGAAGGGTAATAATTTCTATTTATTTTGTCCTGTGTGTGTATTTTTCTCTCTGATAAAAAGGTTTGTAACTGGCATTTCGTGGATCTGGCCCAGCACCTTAAAGAAGCAGTAACAAGCAGTATATAGCAAAAAATGTTGCACTGCTCCTTATAATAGCTCTCAAAAATCATCCAAAATTAGTTGGCCTATGTACTTCCTTTCACCTTAATAACTTTTTTTTTCTTGTTTCAAGATAACTGTAAAATGTTGTAACCCAGATAAAAAGCTTCCAAGCCAAGTGAGCTTCAGTGCCTGTCATTTCTTTAACAACATTTGGTGCTTTTGTTGATTATTGTATTTGCAGGGTGGCTGTGCTGGTTCTTCAGCATGCCTTCCCTGCCATCATTAATTGGGGAAAGGAAGCCTTCATCCAGTAAGCTCTCCCTTTACCCAGCTGTAGAGTTTTGCATATATTGAATTCTGATTTCAGACTTACTTGCCAGTGGTATTAAACACGGCATTAAATATGACCAGACAGAGTGGAATAGAAGTAACTGCCTTATACTCTGTACAGCCTCTAAAATTACCCATTCTTAAGTCCATTTATATACATATCCTGGAAAGGTCTGTCCAGCCATGCATTTAGTTCAGTTGCAGCTCAGAAGGGTCCTCTAAGCAGAGTACCGTTTTCTTACTACCGTCCTAATCAGTAAAGAACTTTCTGAGTTTCTGTTTATAATGACAGTTCACATAAAGTGATTTGGCATTGTAGTAATTCGTGAATGTCCTCTGTGGATTATACATCTATACCTTCAGTACCGCTGGATACCTCACTACATTTAGCACTACTGTGCAAAGTCCCCCAAACCACAGAAACTGGGTGATCAGACAGCTGGACTAACATCCAGAATCAAGTTTGAGGCAAAGCAAGAACAAAAAACCACCAGACAAGAAAACAAAGAAACAAAAAAACCCAAAGGAATCAAGCAAAGGAAGACTTAAAGAATAAAGTGGAAGAAATTCCAAAGAGGGAGAAAAAGTTCAGTCTCTTTAAAAACATAGACTGCAAGTTTGAGAACCCTAAGTAGAAGGAAGCCATTCCAGGAAGAGCAGTGCTTGGGGTTATAAGAAAACAAAGCAATTTTTCTGAATTTAGAGGGTAGCAGAGTTGAGTGTATGCATGTGGCATTTGTGAAGGAAAAAAAAAAAAGAAAAAGCTTACAAAACCTTCCTACAGTGCAAAATGACTTGTATTACTGAAAGAGCTTGTATTGCTTTCAAATGAGAGCAGCAAAATCAGCAGTGATCTTCAGGAAGCAGTAACTAGGAATACTGTCTGCCAGGTTTGGGCTGATGTCTAGTCATGCTGGAACCAGCCAGGGCAGGGAGAGGAGGCAGTCTGCACAGCAATGACTATTAAAAAACGATGAAGTAAAATGAGTGTGAGAAAACACAGTTATCCTGGGATTCTAGTTGGATTTCAGCTATGTTTTATAAATGCTTTTTTTTTTCTTTTACATTTAGTTTCAGAAAAAGAAACAAAACAATGTAAAGATACTGGGATGAACTCTGCTTCCACTCGCAACAGTAAGAATCTAGTTTCTTCAACAGAATTGCTATCGATTCATATTGATGCAGCTGAGAGTAGCATTTGTCCTATTGCCTGGGGTTCTCTCTCTTGGTTTTTGAAATTAAATGGTTTCTGCACACAGACAACAGCTGTACACTTTCAGTCTAGATGATTTGAATTTTAGATGAAGAAAAAGAAAACCCAAAGGTAAAGCCCTTTTCAGAGCACGCAGTGCATGTGGCTGTTTGCGTATGCATCCTCTCTAACACACTCCAACTGCTCATCTCACCAAACCACTGCCACCCTCATTTGACTTTCTTTTCACCCAATCTACTACAGGAAGGTGGATGCCTTCAAAATGGAAAGGCACAGCGCAGAGAAAGCAAAGGGCTGACAACCTGCGTGCAGAGAGGCTCTACTCTTCTTTGGGTGTGGGGAAACAAAAGAAAAAAACACACCTGCAAAAATGTCAGACCTCAGAAACGTTCCTAAGGTCCCTTCATAGGAAAGGAATAGGTTTCAGGAGTTAAAGGTAGAAAGCCTTAGGACCTGCCCGTCTTGGATTGCAACCACTCTCAGGGCTGAAAGGGTTGGGATTGTCAGGGTGTCATCAGTGTTTAAGTACACTATATCTATTTTACAGGGCTTGTAGATCTTGGGAAGGTAAGTGACTATCACCCCTCTGTCACAGATGAAGAATGTTTTATGGGACGCTAAAAGAAAAAGTTGCCCAAAGTGAAATAATGCTCAAAGGCAAGCAATAGATTGCGGATCGCCTGATCCATGCTGTAGATTAGCCCCTGTATCATTTAATGATGTTCAAAATGTTTTGGGAGCAGTGCCTGTAACAAGAAACTGCTGCCAGGAGGTCAAGGTGAGGCCTTGTGTATTTTTTTTAGTACTTTGCTTTATTTTGTTCATGTAATTTATCTACAACCATCTCATTACATGATCACAATTATTTGCCTAAAGTCTTAGCATCATCATGGCAGATGTTTATCACCAGAAGGGCTGTAACTGAGGAGAAAGCAATGTGGCTTTTGAGGGCAGCAATTTTATGAGACAAATCAGCAAAAGATAAATTCTTGAGGAACTTTAAAAATCCTTATTGGCACAGTAGCCTTAAAGAAAGAAGGGGAGAAGTAATGTACAGATTGAATGCTGAGTTCACTTCATTATTTATAAATAAAATGGCTCTTAGTTTTCCAAGGTATAGTGCCAACACTTGATGTCACTGGGAAGTTTCAAAAAGGTTAATTAATGGTCTCCTTTTCACGGAAAGTGTTTGGGGCAGCCCAGTGAATGCCGATGCAGAGATTAAAAAATGCGTACTGCCTATTAAAATCCTCTTGAGCCCTTTTGGAGCATGTAACTCGCATACCCCGTGTGGCTATGTATTCAGCTTTTCCCTTGCTGCATGGTTAGGAATTTTTTTTCTCTAACTACAAAATAAACATTACAGATGGTGGCTCAGAAGTAAATCTTTCTTTGTCACATACTTCCTGGTCTAGTTAATACCTTTGTTTGATAACGTGGAAGGAAAATCTACTAGCTGAACGTATGGGGAGAGGAATGAAAGGTCATGTCCATCATGAAGTGTTAAAGTTTATCGGTAAAGCTTGTCTTTCAGATTTAGAAGGAAGGTAGGACTTGGTAAAAGCTGCTTTTAATGAGGTGTTGTAGTGTATGAAACTGTGGAATTGAAGAGATCTTGAAAATAAATCCTGGATTTGCCCCCTGTGTCCATGCTCACTGTTCTTTGCTGTAGGATTTTCTTTGTTTTGCTTTACTTTTTTTTTTTCTGCCAGGAATGTATAAATTAATTGTTGCTTTTTTCATAGTGTCTGGTGCCCTAGAGATATAAAATATCATGAATAAACTATATCTTGAAGTCTGTGCCTGCAGTTTGGCTCCAGTAGCCCTGCTTTTGGAGTACTGTGTTATACTGTGTTTTATCATGGTAATTGGAACAGAACCATTTTCATGACAAGCTCCTACTCAGTCCAAAGAAGAGTATCAAAATCTGGCACAAAGTTGTGCTTAAAGAGTCACAGGGAGCTCTGGCCAAGGCAGGGACTGAAGAGAGCTGGAGTAGGCCTTCAGTCAGGCCCCTGATATTTTTTTTTAAAGACAAATTTTTGCATTTCTCAGATGCAACAAAATGTTGTGTGGCTTTGAGAAGGGACGTCTCCTTGGCTGTGGGAGGGGGTCACAATCTGCTTGGGATGGGGAGAGCGCCCGTTTGCTCATTTCCCTGCTTTCTCCAGCAGACCAAAGGCCACTGGCGGTTTGCAGTCCTCTGCTTCCAGAATCTTATCTCTTTCCCAGTTTGCCCTCTAATCCGTGGGTTATCACGAGCTCTTTAAATAAGGTTTTTCCTTCAAGTCTGTGGAAAGGGAATGACGAAAGGAGCTACCTCCTTTTTCTCAAAGGAGAGATCAGAAGAGTTTTCTCCTTCTGCAGGGGAGAAAAGCTAAACTTTCCACCATCCCTTTCCCCACTTGCAAGTTTTTATCTCTGCCTCCTTCAGCCTGTAGAGTTTGACGGTGCACAGCTTTCTGTGCTGAATACCTCTTAATCCCTTCCTCCTCTGTGGTGGTGGAGATCTGCTCCATTAGACATGGTGCAGCTCTTCATCTTAACCTGCTTACGCTATGGCTTCACCAAGGTGGACTCTTCTCAGAGTGGTCACACTTTACAGAAGGTTGATGTATTGATGGTGATTGAAAAGCTGGGTGAGAGGTTGCCTGGGAGGTTGAATATAAGGCAGCACCTTGTAGAACCACATGGAGTCAGTAACCAGGTTATCTGGCCATAGGCATTCTTTGAGTCTGTGAGCAAAAATTAATCACTTGTTCTTTGCTAATTACTATGCAAATAAAGATAATTATGTGGTTGCCAGCAAAAGATTCACTAAAACAACGCGGGGACATCACTTACTTCATATGTCAATAAAGTGGTAAAGCTGTGCCAGCAATGGTTTTACCTGAAATAAATTTCTGTTCAATGAAAACTCCCTTATTTTTGGGGTAGCATAAGAGAAGAAAGGTTGATTATTTTCAAATGGTATCTGAGTTCAGGCATGTGCTGGGAACAGCAATCCACTTACCCCATGTTACAGTGAAAAAAGATTATTGATATCTTGAAGGGAAGTCTGTCCAAAGCATAGCAGTGTGAATGTATGTGAGACAGTTGCTATCCAGCACAAATTTAGAAGAGTCTAAAATTTACCATTATAAGAGAAGAGAAATAATATCAGGGTGCATACTGTTGCAGTGCTAAATTTCAAGTGTCAAAGCACAGTCCAGTTTTTTAATGACCTCTTCAGCTATAGGAGTGCTTCCCTTTCATAATAACAGTGTTGTAATCTGAAGAATAGAGGGGGTTGTGTCGGGGGAAAAAAAAGTCAAAAAAAGAAGAGTATTTAAGATATGAGGAACTTTGGAAAAGGATCTTGTGATGATTATTTGGTATGAGGAAACTTCGAAATGTAAAGCAAAGCAAGAATCAGGGAAGGTCTCTGTGAGAATTAGAAGACATGAAGGCTTTAAGGAAAAGGTCTGTTGATACCATGAGACAGGAGTAAATCTGGGAGAGGAATCTGAGGTGGCCTTCAAGTACAGGAGGAGAGGTTTCTTTCTGGTTGCTGAGATTTGCTGACGTGAACGTAGTGAAATCAGTCAGGGTAACAGCTCTGAAGGATGGAGTCCTTTGTCGAAAAGCAGATATGTAAGGTAATAGCAGTAACAAAATTGTCTCATGCCTCAGTTTTGTTTTGAAGAGGCTATATTTGGTATGAGATGGTTGTCCACTCTGTGTTGTTTCTTCCTTGATTTTTCTATTGAGACAGTTGATAAGACCAGTGCCAACTTTATAGTGTGAATGGCTTACTACACGACACAGTTTAGTTCTGCCTGTCTGTACCGGAGATGAATCCGTGCAGTACACCTAATATGCCTTCATAAACAGTGACACCAGCATACTGTGCCTCTTCTTGTTGAGGGCTTGAAGATACATTCTAGTTAATGTATATTATACAGTGATGGGAGTTTCTGGCACTGTTTAAATCAGTAGTAGTAAATGTAGATATCTAACCTGATTATACTCGGGGTGTGTATTTTACAACCTAAAGTCACCGAGTCTGGTCATTACTTGGAACTACGTGACAGGAGCTGCAGGAGGAAATGTTATGGCTGGTACAACTGGCTTTGCGTGCTCTTCCCTTTCAGTCAGTGACGGGCGGAAAGTTTTGGGAGAACACTGTGGAGGACTGCTTCAGGGCTGACACACAGAAAAATAAAAGACTGCGGCTACTCCTGCCTTTTGAAAGTCTGGAAAGTTCTCCATTTCATTTGAGAGCAATTAGCTTCCCTTAGGTGGTCAAATTAAAAGTTGGCTAATTACATTTTTGCTCCCTTCTAATTTCATCCATCTTGTAACTGCATTCTTCCTGCTGGATCCCACAGTTATGTGTTTTGGGGTGGGGGCTGTTTATTTTGTTATTCTTCTTGTGAAACAATTGGGATACAGCCTGCCTGTGGCTGCATTTCAGGTGACAATTAAACAAGTGACTACTAAGCAGTAGAGATGTTACTCAAATAACTATTTATCCACATCTCCGTGTTTTTATTGCCTGATTTCTCACCTGTCCTCTGTGATGCTTTAAGGCAGCAAATGAGTTGCTATGTTCAGGTGAATGCTGTAAAGGAAGAGTGTGAAAGACAATGTTTGCACTGAAGCAGAGCCAACGACATGTGCCCTGACAATGCTCAAAATTATGCTTCTGTGTGTTCTTCAGTGCCATCTACCGGCACCGTTCCCCATTGGATTTATAGGCCAAGAACAGTCTCTTAACAGGCACCAATTTACAAGCATTTGTTTCTGTTTTCCTTTCAGGAGCAAGGCAAGATCGGTGTAGTCTTCAATATTGGCACAGTGGACATCTCTATTAAAGAGGAAAGCACACCTGTAAATGATGGCAAATACCACGTGGTACGCTTTACCAGGAATGGTGGCAATGCCACACTTCAGGTTGACAGCTGGCCAGTGAATGAACACTACCCAACAGGTACATGCTTTTTGTCTTTCTGTTTCTGCCTGTCCATATCTAAAAAAACTGTTAGGCAACAACTGGGTATGATATAATGCTTTGTCACTTCATCTCAACAATAAATTGATGAGCTTGGTGGCACATATTCTATCTTTTAGAAAACAAAGAATGGTCCTTTACATAGGAAGAAAAAGCATGCCAACTGTGTGGTGTGATGTACATAGATCCTGCTGTTTCAGAGGTCTCTAAGTGAATCCTGGTTCTGCAGAATCACAAACTGATGCAACAACAAGCTCGGTTTTGCTACTTGTGATATTTTCCAACTGTTTAAGGGAGGAAATTTTTGAACAGACTTTACAAAAAGAAGAGGTGATTCTAGCCACACTTAAGACACAGGCTATAATAGACGTAGAGTTGAAGTATAAGTAAAGTGGAAGATTAAGTTGCAAGTATTTGAACAGACCTTATGGTTGCCTCATCACTTGAATTTTACTTTTAGGTTTGCAGATACAAAGGTTGACACAATCTAACAAAAGCTGTCAACTCCTAGTTGACTTTAGGTCAAAATGCAGTGGATATTGGTTTCCAATATTAAGTCTAAGCAACTTCCATTTCTTCCTTTGTAGGTTGTACATAACTAACCTGGGACAGAAGGAAGAATTCTGTGATAAACATGAGACAATTTCCTAGTTGTGTAGGACTTGCCCACAAGCCACTATACTCAAATTAGAAGAAATATCCTAATTATTTATGTAATGTTACACTAATAGATTACCCAATGGGGTTAATTTAATCTCTTCCACTCGCTCAGAAAGTACACAAAGTTTTTAATATAAGTGATCTGTCCTGTGGTAATCTCTACCACATATTCAGCATGACACTTTGTAAGTGTTTTGGTGATGTATATGCAGAAGAGTACATTTTAATAATTATCCTTATTTCTGTGAAATAATTGCTTTCCAAGAACACCATGACAGACATGCTGAGTTAGATTCTAGACCTGTTATCCATTGGTTAGAGAGGGAAGCATGGCTAGGGGATGCCCAAACTGAGCATCTTTCTACTGGTCCTTTCATCAATTATTTTGTGGTAAGATACTTCTAATCCAACTGGCAGCCAATTATAGTCAGTAAAAACTCCATGAATAAATTTTCTTCTTCTGTTACTTGCTGTAGTAAGTCCCTGGTGAAAAGAAACAAAATATTCAACTCTTTGCTTTAGAGTTTTGTTTTGTTTTTTTAAAAGGGAAAATAAATCACACTCAGATTGTGTGTGTGTACCTTGGTGCTCTCTGTTTCTGTCTTGGCTAAAGATATTCCTGTGTTTTCATTAGAAGATGTATGGTTTTATAGAATCAGTATTAATCTTATATTCTGGGCTAGTATTGAATATATAAGGTTGCTCCCCAAGGGAAAAGGACACTTTTATATTCCAGACACCTTTTCCTTTCCATGCATCTATTTCAGTTACTGGCTTTTTGTAGGTGGTGAAGTTTTCAGCCTGTGCCTGTGAAAATAAAGGCTTATGGGATCATACTTTGTGTGTGTGCATGTGTCTCCCTGTTTTTTTGCAGTTTCTTTAAAACTGATGTTTTAGCTGCATTAAGGGGTTAAAAAAAATAAATTAAAAAATCCTACATCGTTAGGGAAAATAACCAAGGGAGGAAGGCAGTGTTCTAGCCCTCCCAGAGGAAAAGACTGTGGCTTGATCTCAATTCATGTTAAATACCAGAATATTCATATAATAAAGAGGCATTTTGAATGCCTTAGATTCAGGAAAAGCTTCAATGAGAGAAGCCAATAACTACAGGAAACCAAGCCTTATTTGTTCCATTTTCTGGGGAATTAATGGTTTAAAAGAAGACCAAACAGGAGATTTTGAAATGAATAATTTGTTGTCTTTCACAGACTAAACTTGCACTAGTGTTTCTCATACTGAGTGCAGGACCAAACCGGTGTTCAGCAGAGTTTCCGCTCTGTAGCAGGCTCTGTGGTTGTGTTGACACCAGCTAATCCAGCGTGTTTCAGCTGGAGACTGCTGAAACTGCAGTTGGTTTCAAACATGTAATAAAAGCTAAGGAATCTTGTATTTTATGCATAGAATCAATTCTGGAAACACAAACATTATTTGTAGTGTTTAAAAAACATCACATTTTTAGCATATGCATGTTTGGGCATGCTGTGTTGTCTGTAATATGAACAATTTCAGGTGTACTTGATTTTCTGCATAGTGCTACAGCCTAATGTTTGCAAATTAGCAAAAGAATCTTCTTTGTCATCACATGTGATGCAATATTCAGACAGCAGGGCTGCATTCTGAATGTCATTTCCATGCTCCTCTCTGAGTTTTATTACCTGTAGAAGAATTATACATTAGACTTATAATTGCTTGCTCAATGGAAAGTACAAATAAAAGTGGGATATTCATTAAATGAGCAAAGAGAGAGAATATTGGCTTTCCTTAAAACACAGTCTTCAGTTAAATTGAAATTAAATGAAACTAGCCCAATGGGACTGAAAGACTCCAAAGCTGTATTTTTGCAACTTCATATAAAAGACAAGAAAGTGGAAGTAAAACAGAAAAGCAACAAACTTAGAATTTGGGCACCGACATTTTGGTTTTTATAGCATCCAATTACATCTCAGTCACCTGCAACATGAGCTTTATGCTCTCTTGTGAGGAAGAGGGTTAGAGAGAAATTGTAAAGGAGGAAATTAAACTGGAGCTAAGATTGGCTAAGCTTTGGGACTGAAATAATACAATCATCAGGGATGATCTCTCACCGTTTGTACCATTCCAATCCTTCCAGAGTTTCTCTTACTGGGCAGTAAGACTCTGAAGAGTAGCCTGGTGCAGGTCTCTGAGACAAAGCTCATGAGAGCTGGGTGATGGCAAATAGCAAAATCAGCACTGGCACTGCTATCTGCAGTTCAGCTGTTGTGATTTAGTTCAGCCAAAACCATTGAGCCATTTATGATTTATTTGCATTAGTTTTGCCCTTTGTCCTCTCCTGCAAGTACACAATAAGGAGATGGGCTTTTTTCATAAGCTGTTCTGATAGCCAGTTCCTTGATGCTTAATTCATGAAGTTGATCATGTCATATTTCTTAAGTGAAATGATCTTGATCACAACATATTTCTTAAGTCAGGATATACACCTTTTGCTAACAGAACTTACGAATTTCTGTGCCCTAAAGTGCAGTTTTCTATGACTGCCTTCCTTCTGTTTTCTCACATGCCTTCACCCTTTGGTGTACATCCCACGTAACAGATTGTAGTTGGTCACCGTTTTCATGCTGAAAGCCTTCTCTATATATAAATTAATCTTTTTAGTGATGAAGTAGGAATCTTTTTGGACCAAGCATAGGTAAGATAGGAAAACTAGTTCAGGCAGAGGAAGCTTCTGGCATGATTTTGTTCCAGATTTCAGAAAACCCATCAAATTTGAGGCACTTTACAGTAGGATAGAAGAACTTAAATTAGGAATCCTGAGGTTGGGAAGGAGTCAGCAATTCTCAGAAGGGTTAAAAATGAATCGTCTGTCTTGACACAGAACTGGTATACCTCAGTCCCTAAGTTTTCATTATTTGTTAGACAGGAGATTTTTTTTCTCTCTCCCCTGTCTTTGCTTGCAAGGAATACTTGTGTGTTGCCAGATTTGTAGTGTACATCGAAACAAGCATGATATTCCTGTTCATTCATCCATGCACTGACTACATTATTTGCAGCAGAAAAAGAAATGAAACTACGTGAAGAGAGGCTGTAAAGCAAGAGTATCAGTGCACCAAAATAAAGTCTAATTGGAGTAATATTTTAAGAGAGATTAAAGGAAGAAAGGCAAGAGGGGGGAAGAAGTTGTCATTTAAAGAAATACATGTTTTAGCAAGAGATTTGTAGCCTGGATTTTATCCCTGCATTTTATAAATAAGCAATAGGACAGCATTAAACAACCGGATCCTTATCAGGATTCATTAGTTCATCCACCCAATGCAGATTTTATATTTTTCCCCTTTATCATTCTCTTGAGTGATCTCTCAGCCATCTTTTAGAAGTTTCTGCCCTTTCAAATGACATTAATTTGCAGTTCTATTGGCACTGAATAAAAGAAAAAAGATTTTTGTCCTCTGTGCCCCTACTATATTCTCTCTCTCAAGTACACGTTTGTGAGGAAGTTGGATTTTAGGAAGTTGGACAGTTAGCTCTCAACAGCAGAACTCCAGGGACTTTGTGACTGCTCTGGTAAGTACTGTGGCCCAATAAATATATACGTATAAGATAAAAAGTTGGTTCTGAGACTCTGATGTCTGTGCTGGGGTTTTACTTCAGAATAGTCCCAGTCCCTAGGACTGAATGACCCTGAAGAGTTGGGGCATACCTTCTGGTTTAAATCCATTTGAAAGGAATCCAGTTTGTATTCCCTGAGAGCATTGCAGTATATGAATCGAAGTGTAGCAAGTGGAGAAGGTTGGGAGGTACACCTCAGAGGCATGCTTCTGATTCAAACCAAAATGCTGATGTAGGTGGATCTCACCATAATACACACTGGAGCTTGACAGAGGAGCTCATTCTTTCATTACTCCTTCCCATACTCAGGTTGCTTGAATAGTCAAATTTCTGTTTTCTACTCTCTCTCATCTTCTGTTCAGCTGGATCACTTTGCCAATGCCATCCCCCTTGTAACTGGCCCAGGTGGGAGCGGACATGATCATTCAGGACACAGGGAAAGATAAGATGACTTCATTTATCAGCAAGGCTGGTTTATGCCAGTGTAAAGTCTTTGCTGAACTATGTCTTTAGTAGTCTATGTGAGACGAAGTCATTCTTTCTCACCTGCTGCTGCCTGAAACAAAATGCTTTCCAGAAGCACAGATTAAAGGGATAGTGGTCTAGATTGTCCTGCCTTTCTAAAATGTGAAAGGCATGAAGTCTCTCTTGCTACAATATATTTTTTTATTTACTTGGTGGAGAGATCTGAGATTGCTTGGTTAGTACCAGGTAGGTGATGTGAGACAGCTGAA